GAATTGTGGTTTTTTCTTTCTTTTGGTTGTTGTTGTTTGTTTTTTTAATTTGAGACCATACGGTTTGGAAAAGTCACTTTGGAGAAAATAAAAAAAAAAATCAAATACACCTTTGTTTTCAAATACTTTAAAATTTAAAGGGGAGATAAGATGAAGACACACACATATAATATAAAGTGTGTAAACACAGACACACTTAAGCGGAAGAGGAAGGTCTAAACAAAGAGCTATGGTGATTGTGAACAGGGAAAGATAACTATGGCTTTGGGATGAACATGAACGAAATCCAAGAAGACTTGGGAAGAGTCATCATGATATAGTGAGCAGCAGGGTAGTAGAGGGGCTTGAATTCTGCGATCAAACAGACTAAGATTCAAATCCTACTCTTACTAGCAACTTAACTTCTCTGAGTCTCTTGGTTTTTACATTTGTAAAATGTGGACAATAATATATTGACCTACAGAGTTACTGTGAACATGACATGAGTCAATGTATGTGTGCTGACATTTAAAGACGTGGGGAAGAAATTCTCTCGGGTAGCAATATGCAACCGAGAAAATGAGCAGCCCAATAGCACTTCAGAGGTTGAAAGACTGTGCGGTAGAGAAAAGAGAGTAGTGGGTGATAAGGCTGGAAATGCATTTAAGACCAGTAACAGAGCTCTCCTTAAGGTCTGGACTCAATCTGGTAGGCCACAGAGATGCAATGACTTCTGAAGAACAGTGCATTATGACCTGAACTAAGCAGGAAGACAGACTGGAAGAAAAAGAGGCCCAAAACAGGAATACCAGTTAGAAGGCTACTGTCATAACCACTGAGACGTAATGAGAATTTGAACTAGATTAGTAATAATGGAAATGGGATAGAAACTAATTGTTGAAAGTATCAAAGACATACTTGATATAACGTGGGACTAATGGACCAAATAAGAGATTAAGAAGAGCCAGGAAAGCTGGATTCTAGTCCCAAATATGAGAGATACTTGTAACTCTATGGAAAAATACAGCAAACTATTTTATTTCCACTTTCTGAATCATAAAAATGAGCTATTAACACTTACTGCTTAAGAACTTTGTAGACTTTCAAAATGGTCTGGTTATTATGCAACATTTGGGTATTGGCCTGGTTTATCAGAGGAACACTTTTTATTCCTCACCTTATAATGCTTCAACATCTGTAATCAGAGCCAATATTATTAATCTAGGTACATACTTATTGGTCCCTTTAATCTGATAAAATTTAGATATTAACTAAGCCTTGAGAGCACTGAATGAAAGGATCCCAAGCAACTCCAGAAGCCTGAAGAACGAGACTGATCACAAATTCAAAATACCTGTTACATGTCTACTTTCTACTTTCCCAAGACAAAAACCTTTTTCCTGAGCCAGTCAATTCTGTGTTCTTAGCTGAGTCTTATGCAAGGGATAGAGTACAACACACTTCTCTGCATTCAGACAAATCTCTACAAATATCAGGAAGAACCTGATGGTGATCTCTGCCAGTTATATATTCTACTGAAGTCAGGAGGCTGCCCTGTTTAATACACACTGTCAAACAGGGGATGAAGTTTATAAAGATTATCACAGAGTAACAGAAATATCACTGGATTAATATCCAGGAGACATGCCACTAATTGTGAGACAGGTCACTTCACCTCTTGGACTTAAGCTACTCACCTATGTGTTGAAGGCGTTAATTTGTGACAAGCCCTTCTGATAAGGTCTCAAGCTCAATCAGCAATTTCTTTCTGCAAGACTGAGAGCTACTGCTATTCCAATAGAAATATACTGTAAAAGACTTTCAACCCAAAAAAGAAACACTGTGAATAGCAAATCAATATCTGAATCTTCTTCTGTCTTTGGAGAAGGAACTTTTATATCTTTCCTTCCTTCCTTCCTTCCTTCCTTCCTTCCTTCCTTCCTTCCTTTCTTCCTTTCTTTCTTTCTCTTTCTTTCTTTCTTTCTTTCTTTCTTTCTTTCTTTCTTTCTTTCTTCTTTCTTTCTTTCTTTCTTTCTTTCTTTCTCTCTCTCTCTTTCTTTCTTCCTTCCTTCCTTCCTTCCTTCCTTCCTTCCTTTCTTTCCTTCTTTCTATCTATCACCTACTTACCAGCCTACCATGTGATTTTCTTAGATCTGTATTTCTCCATTACATAAAGCATGGATATTCTAAAGAATCTGCATCAGTGGAAAAGGGCTAAGTCAGAGACAACAGCTTTACTTGATAACCAGGAAAATGCCTGTGTAGGAAACATCTCACGTACATGATGAAAATATTTAGCCTCTGTGTTCAGGCAAAAATAGATAGATAGATAGATAGATAGATAGATAGATAGATATGCCTGGAGCTTAAGTGAGCCAGGTTTTTCCAAAAGGTCACTTTGAGAAAAACTTGGAATGAAGGGAATCTGGATTCTGTGGCATAATTCCTGAGGAGGCAGCACAGTAATAAAGGCATTGACTCTGGAGAGAGTCAGAATTGGATTCAAATCCCAACTCATTATTCATTAGCTGCAGGTACTGGCCAAAGTGCCCAACCTATCTGAACCTATATCTTGCAGAGTCATCATAAGGACTGAGTTAGGCAATGTATATAATAAAATACCTTGCACGTACAGAATAAATGTTAGCTCAATAAATGCATCAGCATCCATCCTTCCTCCACTTCCCTTTCCATCTAAGTTTTCTTATAATTTAACATAGCTCCTAACATCTCGTGGTAATATTTTTGTAACTACTTTTCAGCTGTCCTGGAAATTGGTAGGCCATTTGAGGTTTCTTCCAGACAGCTCTATTGATCCATAGGGAAGAAAAGGAGGTCCATTTTTGGGACTTTTTCTCAATTTTGGAAGATCCCTAAATATAATACTATTTGTGCCAGGTGACAATTTCAATTTATAAAAATATACAGCTATTCTACTAAGTTTTTGCTGAATCCCAACAAAGACCCTGCTGTAGTATCTCATTGTTATAGAAAAGTATCACTGTGCTCAACTCTGTACAAAAACAAATGCAACAACCAAAAATAGAGTTTATGTATTTCAAGAATTTTATTTCCTTAACAATGATCAAAAAAGTTTAACAATCTGCTTTAACTTTCCTTGTAGTGTATCCATGCTCATGTTGGAAGTAGGAAGTAACGCTCTTCTGGATGGTGTGTACAGAGCTCTACCACTCTTATTCAACATAGTACAAAAATGCAAGAGCAGATTTAGATTCATCAGTCACCTTTATTAGTGTTGAAATGACATAGAGTTAGCAAGAAAAGGACTATATAGAGCAATTATAATTTTCTCATACACTGAAACGTCTAAGATAATACACTGATAATAATATACTGAAAAGTTACCATATTTAAATTAAGTTTCATTAATGACAGTAAGAAGTACAGTGCTGAAAAAAGAGCACCTGAAATTATGAAATAATTGCAATAATAATGATAACAGTAATTATAATACACCACCAGCAGTAGCTCTCCTTTGTGGAAGATGGCTGTGTGCCAGATACTGTAACAGGCATTTTACATATAACTTATTTCCTCTTCAGTGTAACTCTATACAATATCCCTGTGTTACAGATTAGGAGATGAAGATAGTACAAGGTGAAGTACCCTGGTTCAAGGCCACACAGCTAGTTAGAGCACAGTGGTTTTTTGAATCATATTTGTTGGGTTTCAAAATTCATACTCTTTTCACTGGGCTTAGGAAAGGTAGTTATACAAGTAAATGTCCAAAAACTTGTCAGACCTGAAAAATCTCTGGAAGGTAAGCAAAGCACCATTACAAGCCATCGTGACTGTCTAAAACCTGAAACACATGCACAAGGCCACTGACCGTGAAACCAGAGTCAGAACAGCTAAATATCACAAAAGTAATAATAGCCATCTACCTGGAGCGTTGTTATAGGGGCATTCATAAACTGAAAAGTGTATTCAAGGATTTGACAAATTGAGTGCAGTTTGTTATAATGTGTTTGTTTGCAAATTAAACAAGTGTGTTTGCAAATTTAACAAGAGAGCTTACAATTTTTTTTCTTGTTCTAGACTTTTAAGTTTTATTTTTTCTTGAGGTTCTTACCAGAAGAGAAAAAAACTCACCAAGCACATAACTTTTCAAAAGTAAATAAAAGAAAATTTTACTTTTATTTTATGAATTTAAAAGAATCCTTTAAAAATTTAGAGAGAAAGTTCATGGCAAAGCACAGAATACACACTGCAGAACTGTGTGAATTAAATCTAAAGGCAGAGGTCTCTGACATAAGGGTACAACTATAGTCCAAGTAAAACCCTTTTTCCTTTCTCAACTTGTTCGTTTGCAATTAAGATGATTGATTCTCTCAACCTCCCAAACTGCTGAACTAGAGTCTAACATATTGAATTCTCAATTAAAAAAAATAAAATCATTATTGCACTTTTTTTTTTCTCATAGAAAGACTTCAATGTTTCTAAGCCCGAGATTTTACTTGGGTGTTTAAGAAAATTTTCATATGAAGGTATCAATCTTGAATTTGATCCACCTTTTTAAGAGAAAGAAAGTCAGTTCTTTAAGGTCTGTAGAGCCACCACAGTGGTGCACTGAATTCTGGCAGCCTGAACAAATTAACTTGCTAATGAAAGGCAGAAACAAAGTCCATATTCAGGTGTGAGATCAACTACAGAACAATTTATTTTGTCATCTATAATGAAATAATATACTTACCATAAAAAGTGAGGTACCCAAAGAGTGCAGATATAAAATAAATGAGAAAACTTAAAGCAATTGCTGTATTGGTTACATTCTGCATCCTTTTCTTAGAAGGTCTAAAAGAAAAAAAAACGGTAAAATTAGAATCTGTGATCTGAATTATATCTAAGTAGATAAATATCTTCCAAGCTATTCAAAAGGATTCCTCAATCACTCAAGACCTAGTTCTCTAATAACTACACACTACAATTCTTTTTTTTTTTTTTTTTGCTGTATGCAGGCCTCTCACTGTTGTGGCCTCTCCCACTGCGGAGCACAGGCTCCGGACGCGCAGGCTCAGCGGCCATGGCTCACGGGCCCAGCCGCCCCGCGGCACGTGGGATCCTCCCGGACCAGGGCACGAACCCGTGTCCCCTGCATCGGCAGGCGGACTCCCAACCACTGCGCCACCTGGGAAGCCCTCACACTACAATTCTTGATTTGAAATTACTGCACAAAGGACTATGCTTCAAAGAAACATTCTCAACTTAGAACTAAGTCTTGGTTGTTTTGTTTTGTTTTAAACTAACACCTACAATCCAGTGGTGGGAGGGAAGGATTCATAGAGGAGAATGTTATTCAATCTGAAAGTCCTAGAAGTAAAAAGACATACTAATACATTTTAAATATTCCAGGATTCTACAGTACCTTTGAAGTTCACAGTATATGGGCAATATTGAGGTGTGGCAGAGAAATGAAAAAGCCATGGTTGGTATGGCATAAGCACTCTGAAAAAAAATTTTTTAAAGATGAAATTATTAAATGCTACTCTGTTGAAACCACTACTTCATTTGACAATAAAATCAGTTCTCCAAAAAAACCCCAACAATTTAGTTAAATTTCTTTCATGTTTCATGAATCACCTGTTCATAAAATAAGAGGGTTTTTTTGTTTTTTTTTTTTAACGAGACACACAGTTATGGTCCCCAGTAAATATTTTACTTGATAGCTGTATTGCCCACACTAGCGAAAATATTTCTTGGCTGCTTCCACACCATGTTGGTTTTACTACAATCACTGCTGCTTCTATATTGCATCAGTAAGATAAAAATAATTAAGGTAAGATAAATAACATTTAGGTAAGATGAAAAATAATAACATTTTAGAAATGATCTTATTGTAATTCTCAGTCTTTCCTAATGCATATATTAGGAAACTCAAAAACATTTTATTACCCTAAGCAGCAATAATAGTTAATGCTTTTGAACCTGCTTTCACCAACTCAATTCAAGTACCAACCTAATCTAAGAGAATACTGAATATATTAATCATATCTTAGCATCTATAACTAGGGTCTCTTTTGATGGGAATGAACACGATTTATTCTAGACCAACAAATTCATAGAGATCCACTGGAATATATGAACAAAAGTTGTTGTTTTTTTAAAATTAGAATAGTTAAGAACCAGAGAAAGTTACAAAGCAAACAAAAGTTACCATCTAAATGAAAACACTGTCTTTACAAAATAGATGGTAATGATTTACTTTCTCTTTTTTACTCTAAAAAAATTTCTCCTTAACTAACTTAAGGCTCTTCAGCAAAAGAAGTTCCAGATGACTGTAGATCTATCTTCAGACACAAGGCCTCTTAAAAATATCAGAGGAGAGCTGGCAGGAAGGAAAGCTGTAGCATTTCCCAAGGCTAGATTAAGAGAATGAAATTCAATTCACAAATTCTCTTTCACATACTGCTCAGTTTCCTGGCTTGTCAATTACCCTACCTAAATCTTTAAGGCACATGGAGGCCTTTACCATGTAAAAGATGTGGTAACCTCCCTTGTGGGGCCAGAGAGACATTTCTCATTTAAAAACTGGGGGATAAGGGAGTTCCCTGGTGGGCTAGCGGTTAGGATTTCAGGCTTTCATTGCTGTGGCCCGTGGTTCAGTCCCTGATTGGGGAACTGAGATCCTGTAAGCTGCAAGGCACGGCCAAAAACAAAACAAAACAACAACGGAAAAGAACTCTGGGGAATAAAAAGGAAAATTTTGCATGGAGGAGTTTTCACACTGAAATGCTACACTAATAGAGTTATACATGAGTAGTGGGGATTCTAGTATCTGGGACCTGCATTTTAGCAGAATCACAAAGTGTACATGAAGAAACCTGCAGCAACAAGGAACACATGGCTCTTCTAGAATGGTAAAGTAGAGATCATTCAGATCAGTTTCCTGTCTCCTCTGCTGATGCTCAGGGGCTCTTGCAGGCATTTCAAATATCCTAGCGCTCTCAGAGAAGGCAAGCGGGGACTTGGTCCTTCTGCCTCTGCTACAGGCATCATAAATTTCAACTTTGGAATGTCAGCCAGAAGACATATTGGCAGTGCTCAATTGCTGGTCCAATGATGAGGCTGTTTAGCCACAGACCAAGGTTCTACTCACAGGGGAGGAGTTTTTTATATAATTAGCTATTTAGCTTTACAAGTCCAGAGGGCAACAGGAAGTCTGTATGCACAGAGGACCTTATTGGCTAGACCAGACATTCAGTAAATCTGTTCTTTTAGGCAGTGGCCCATTTAAAACAGGCTCCATTTAAAGGTGTGCCAAAAAAAAGGTGGCCGTTTCATAATGGGCCACCTTCTGGTAAGCAACCCTATACTTAGCACTTTCATGAAAATTAATTAGTTACCGGTAAAAGACCTAAGAGACCCTGTTACACAAACCTCTTAAACTTGAAATGTGAAAAAACTAAAAGTATCTGTTAATAACTTACACACCTCTTTGGAGAAATGAAAGAGCTTTGGTTTACAATCATCTGTAGCATTTGAGATCTGTTTAAGAGGATTGAGGGGAAAGAGAGAAACCAACAGTCATTAAAAGTTAGAATACATCAAAAAAACCAAGATGAATTTATTATTACTGGGCTTTCAAATAAAAATATTTCAAAACAAAGTTCCAAAATGCAATATAGCCATTACTTTTTTATTAATTAGGAAAAAAATCATTATTAGTCATATTTTTTCTTTTTAGCTTAAAATAAAAAGGAAGAAACTGAAAAAAAACCCAAACAAAAACAAAACAATTACCTGCAAGTATTGCTCTACAGAATTTAATGTCAGAGGACAAGGGATGGACCATTTTTTGATTATTATCTGTAAGAATAAGTAGGATCAGATGATTTCTTACCAAATTCATGACAAGAAATTGATTTTAAATAGGTCAGTATTATTTCAATTAATCTAACACCATACCAAATAATATGCTAACTAATAAAAGATTCTTTGTTCATGTCATTTTCCACAGATGGAATGGGGCCATCATCTGACACGGGCACCTACGGTGGGACAGCATGGGGGGCTGTATAGTTGTTTGGTGGAGATCTCCCCCACTGAAGACTGAGAGCTTTCAAAACTCCAATAGTATCAAGGCATTAAAAGAAAATCCAACTCAGAATGGGAACATGATGTTTTTAGTGACAATAGTACAAGAATATGGCCATCTGTGGACCTGGCATCAGTAGCAGACAGAGAAATATTAATAGCAGTTTGGAAATGGTCACAGGTAGATGCAAAGGGGGAGGCTCAGGGATTTCTGACGCATGAGCACTGGCCCTCCCTCCTTGCTTTTTTCAGACCTACATCACTTTTGGTGAATGTGGATGAAGCTGGCAAAGGATAAGAGCACAAAGCTAAGGAACTAGAGCTGGTAAAAATGAATTTTTAAAAAAATTAAAAGAAATCCAGAGGGCTGCTATTTCCCAGAAACAATCAATGAAAATGTTTCAGGATTTTACCCTTAATTGTGGCCAGCCTGTTCCTAGACCTACAGTTGAGTTGGTCAACATTACCACTGTTGTAGTTGTTTCAGGGCACATAATTACTCTGTAAATACTTGCTCTAGGCTGAAACCCAGCATTCAAAAGGGCAAGGGAGAATAAAGGAAGCATCTGTCCTTTGCAGAAGACCTGTAAGTAAATATTACACTATTCCTATTCGGTATTTATCTAGTTTTAGATTTTAACTAATTCAATCAAAATTTTACACAGTGATAAAACAAACCCAAGGAAAACATATACTTTTAGGATTAAATTAATGAGTCAACTAAAAAATTACTCTTATTTAAAACCCTCACCAAGAGGAAAAAAAAAACTGTAAGGGTAAACTGGGCAAGTGGCTTTGATATTTCTAGGTAAGTTTTCAATACAGAATAAACTAAATGGTCAACTTACCAAAAGGAAAGAAAAAAAAAAATCAAAAGCAATAATCTCACCATTTTTCTTTTCTGATATGTTTGCTCAAAAAGGATGAGGATGGGGTGGGGTAGAAGCAAAGTTGTTACTGGTCTCTCTGTTCAGCCCTGCTCCAAATTCAGCATCTCACATTTCCCCCTGACAGTGGAGGTGGCGGCAGCAACAACCATTTACATTGTGTACCAGGTAGTTTGATAAGGTTGGTATGTGAGCTACCTCATCTTATCAGCTGTTATTACAAGACTTGCAAACCCAAATATTTCAAAACAGTGCTCCAAAATGCAAGAAAATGATTATTTTTTCATTAATCAGAAAATATCATTAGAGGCCTGATTTTATATTAACATAAAATTCAGTTACTACAGCTAATTTCTCTGCAGAGACCCATCTCAAGCCCAAGTGACGTCCTATAAAGCAGAAGTACAGAACAGGAATGGAAGATACCTGACAACAAAGGGTAACGGGGAGTCCTTGCTCAAGTTGAAGGCAGAACACAGTAAGAAGATAAACCCAGGGGTTAGAAAGAAAGACAAAGGGAAATAGAAGATTAAGCATTAAAAATACTTGTTCACTTGCACAGGAGGCCCTTCCCTCTTCTCTCTGCTCCAAGTAATTCCCATCTTTCAAGGCTCAGCTCAAGTTTTATTTCCTTCCACATCTTTCTTTATTCTACCTGTTGGTGATCCTTCTCTCCTCCCAGCTCTTACGTAATCCCTATTATGAAGCAAATAAATCAATACTTAACTATGTATTGACTACATTGTTCTCTGTTTTTTTTCTGATAAATTTATCTTATTTCCCTGACTAGAATGGCAGATCCTTAAGAGTAGTGTCCTGATTAATCTCCCACAACTCTAATGCCTACCATAGTGCTTAGCAGAAGGAAATCCAAATCTAACCAAAATCGATTCAAATAGTTCTCTATTTTCATAACTGACTTATTAAAATATTACTCAAATATTAGTATTAGAATACTAACCTGTACTCAAGACAGAACTTTAGAAAGAACAGAAATTCATTTTTGTTCAAAAATGGACCAAAAAAGGTACCGTCATGCTGAGCCACTGTTAAAATAAAATTTATTTTTAAAATTTTAGGTATTTCAGCAGGGCCAAAAATTTATGTCAAAAACTTTTAAGCAAAATAAGGATCTGGGACAATAGATAAGAGTATAGGTTTTAATTTGCACTGTTTGGAGAGTATAATTTAAGAAAATAATAGTTTTCTGGACAGATTTTTTTTAATGTAATATAAATGCCATACAGATTTATTGATACAAACATACTGATAAACATAATCAGTGAAAAAAGGTGCAATGGAAAAAAAATTGGAATCCATCAAAAAAAATTGGGGTTAATATATACATGTTTTCCTTAACCACTGTGTATTTTTAAACCTAATACTTAGAAAGTCTAAAATAAATTCAGGCATACCTCATTTTATTGTGCTTTACTTTATTGCACTTCACAGATACTGTGTTTTTTAATGGATTGACGGTTTGTGGCAGCCCTGCATTGAGCAAGGTTATGGGCACCATTTTTCCAAGAGCATTTGCTCACTTCGTGTCTCTGTGTCACATTTTGGTAACTCTCAAAATATTTCAAACTTTTTCATTACTATCATATTTGTTATAGTGACTGATGATCCGTGATCTGTGATCTTTGATGTAACTATTGTAATTATTTTGGGGTGCCATGAACTATGCCCATATAAGACGGCGAACTTAATTCATAGATGATGTGTGTGCTCTGACTGCTCCACTAACAGGCAGTTCTCATCTCTCTCCCTCTCCTCAGGCCTCCCTATTCCCTGAGACACAACAATATTGAAATTAGGCCAATTTATAACCCTACAATGGCCTCTAACTGTTCAATTGAAAGGAAGAGTTGCAAATCTCTCACTTTAGATCAAAAGCTAGAAATGATTAAGCTCAGTGAGGAAGGCATGTTGAAAATTGAGATAAGCTAAGAGCTAGCCCTCTTGTACCAGACTGTTAGCCAAGTTGTGGATGCAAAGGAAAAGTTCCTGAAGGAAATGAAAAGTGCTACTCCAGTGAACACACAAATGATAAAAAAGGTGAAACAGCCTTACTGCTGATATGGAGAAAGTTTTAATGATCTGGATAGAAAATCAAACCAGCCACAACATTCCCTTAAGCCAAAGCCAAATCCAGAGCAAGGCCCTAACTCTCTTCAATTCTATGAAGACTGAGAGAGGTGAGGAAGCTGCAGAAGAAAAGTCTGAAGCTAGCAGAGCTTGGCTCATGACGTTTGAGGAAAGAAGCCGTCTCCATAACATAGACGCGCAAGGGAAGCAGCAAGTGCTGCTGTAGAAGCTGCAGCAAGTTATCCAGAAGATCCAGCTAAGATCATTAATGAAGGTGACTACACTAAACAACAGATTTTCAATATAGACCAAACAGCCTTCTACTGGAAGAAGATGCCATTTAGGACTTTCATAGCTAGAGGAGAAGCCAATGCCTGGTTTCAAAGCTTCAAAGGATAGCCTGACTCTCTTGTTAGGGGCTAATGCAGCTGGTGACTTTCAGCTGAATACAATGCTAATTTACCATTCCCCAAATCCTAGGACCCTTAAGAATGATGCTAAATCTACTCTGCCTGTGCTCTATAAATGGAAGAACAAAGCCTTGATGACAACACATCTGTTTATTATTTTAAGCCCACTGTTGAGAACTACTGCTCAGAAGAAAAGATTCCTTTCAAAATACTATCGCTTGGGGACTTCCCTCGTGGTCCAGTGGTAAAGAATCCACCTTCCAATGCAGAGGATGCAGTTTTGATCCCTGGTCGGGGAACTAGGTTCCCACATGCCGCAGAGCACCTAAGCCCATGTGCCACAACTACTGAGCTTGTGTACCTCAACTAGAGAGCCCATGTGCCGCAAACTACAGAGCCCACGTGCTCTGGAGCCCACGTGCCCTGGAACCTGCTCATTGACAATGCACCTGGTTACCCTAGAGCTCTGATGGAGATGTGCAACAAGATTCATGTTGTTTTCATGCCTCCTAACACAACATCCATTCTGCAGCCCATGGACTGAGGGGTAATATTGACTTTCAAGTCTTATTCTTTAAGAAACAATTGCATAAGGTTATAGCTGCTGGAGATGGTGATTCCTCTGATGGAGCTGAACAAAGTAAACTGAAAACCATCTGGAAAGGATTCATCATTCTAGATGCCATTAAGTGCATATTTGATTCATGGGAAGAGATCAAAATATCAACATTAACAGAAGTTTGGAAGAAGTTGATTCCAACTCTCATGGATGACTTTGAGGGGTTCAAGACTTCAGTGGAGGAAGTCACTACAGATGTGGTGGAAAGAGCAAGAGAACTAGAATTAGAAGTGGAGCCTGAAGATGTGACTGAATTGCTGCAATCTCATGACAAAACTTGAATGGGTCCAGAGTTGCTTTTTATGGATGAGCAAAGAAAGTGGTTTCTTGAGATGGAATCTACTCCTGGTGAAGATGCTGTGAAGACTGTTGAGATGAATACAAAGTATTTACAATATTACATAAACTTAATTGATAAAGCAGTGGCAGGGAAGATCGACTCCAATTTTGAAAGAAGTTTTACTGTGGGTAAAGCGCTATCAAGCAGCATTGCATGCTGCAGGAAATCATTCATGAAAGGAAGGGCCAATCAATGCAGCAATCTTCACTGTTGTCTTATTTTAAGAAATTGTCACAGCCTCCCCAACCTTTAGCAACCACCACCCTGATCAGTCAGCAGCCATCAATATCAAGGTAAGACCTTCCACCAGCAAAAAAGATTACAACTCGCTGAAGGCTCAGATGATGATTAGCATTTTTTCTTTTACATTATAGATTATTGTAAGGTATTGAATATAGTTCCCTGTGCCATACAGTAGGTCCTTGTCATTTACCTATTTTATATATAGTATGTATATCTGTTAATCTCAAACTCCTAATTTATCCCTCCCCCTCTTTCC